AATTAGAATGCCACTGTCATTAGCCAGAAAAATAAAAATAGCAGAGAAAGAAAGGGGAAAGCCTTAAAGATGAAAATCTCTCTAGAGTGACTTCCAAGGAGGCTGACTATATTGACTACCCTCTGCCCTGATGCACCAGGCATGGAAGATGACCCGAAGCTTTCCTCCCACACTGACTTTGCTTTCTCCCATCTTGAGGTCTTCCACATGTGCTTTCTCCCTGGAATGCTTGTTGCATGGATCTGCCCCTAATCCCTGAACATCATTTAGATCTCTGCTCAGAGAGATCCTCAGTTCCTCAACTTCCTCCACTCTATAAGATTCTTTGTTCTTTTCTTTCACTGATGCCAAACATCACTGTAATGGTATAATTGTGTGATGTACTCTATCATTGTGTGATACAAGCTCCAGATGGATGGGAACCAGACCTGGTTCAGGGTACCAGTACATTCCCAGAGTTTGGTGTAGTACTGAATACATGGTAGATGTTCAGGCAATAAAGAAATTCTTGACCACCTGCTGCTTGGACCAGCACTGCTGCTCCTACAAAATAAGATTAGTAAGATAAAAATCTTATCTCATTCCGTCAGATTATTACACCATAACACATTTACCAATGACCTATACCAGTTTTCTCAGCATATAGGGGGATCCTTAAGATAGTTAAGCTGCAAGGCAAAGTCAGCTATTGGCCTGATTTCCACTAAAAATGTCATTTGAGTTAGGAATCTATACTCTGTGCCTGTCCTGAGGTAAGGGACATACTGGCATTCCTTTTCACTCCAGTAGTAGTGGAATGGGAGTAAATGCAAATGACATTATAATAGGTGAGTAGAGCCTGTTATTCAAGCATCTTTCTTTGTAAGTCTAAATGCAAATGTTGAATTGTTTCTGACTGGTTGCAATCATCTCACTGTGAGTGAGAACTGTAAGAAAAGGACCCCTCCACGGGGGGGGGGGGGGGGGGGGGGGTGGTGGTGGAAGGGGGGGAAGCTGAACAGTACTCCCATGAACCTCTCCCAAGCTTGTTCCCCATCTTCCATCCCACTCCCAGAAACAAGCTTGCTAAAAAGGGCTTCTCTGCCTTCGTCTTATTTTATAATCTGTGATGCAATTTACTACTGTTAATAACCCTGATGCATTCTTAAGAGAAATTTGAGTATTCTAACAATACTATTTTTAAGCCCATTTATTTGTTGTGTTTATCAAAACATAAAAGTTCAAATGCTTAAAAGTACACACCATGGCTCATCTTTGCATTACATTCCCACATTCCCCTTCCCCCTTCTTGCTCCCTGTCCAGAACAGTATCTTCCTCGGTAATCACCTTGGGAGTTTTATGTCCCTACCTTGTTCTCTCACCAATTTTTGCCTCCAGGAAAGAGACTGTGGAGATAGCTTTTCTTAGGGCAGTGCCATTAATCGGCTAGTTCTATGCCAACTTGGTTATTCCACCCAGAACACAGGTCTGGAATCCCCAAACTCCAATTCTCCTTTACCCAGAAGGGTCAGATCCACCATAGATCCTTCTCCCAACTCTTTAGAAAGCCCTGACCCCAGCTTCCCACACCGCAGAAGTCAGAAGAAAGGAAATTAAATTGACCAAGGTGATGAGTTTCTTTTTCCAGTAGGCGGATCCAGGCTTCCAGTCTTCAAAGAAATGTTCACTGGCTGCACGAGGTTTTCCTGAGTGCCAGACGTAGAGACCCCATGCACGTTACTTGGAATCAGAAGACCTGGTGGCAAGTTTGAACTCGACCAGTTCCCAGCTGCGTGGCTTTAGGCAAGTCACCTTTTAGCTTTCTGAATTTACCTATCCACAAGGGTGGCTGGCTTGAAATGTGGGCTCCTTGATTTTGTTCTACCTTACCTGGAGGTAAGGGTTTGAATTCAAAGACACAAGAAGAAGAAGAAGAAGAAAAGTGACAGGAAGTATCTACTGACCCTTTTCCAGTCGAGGTTCCGGAAAGATCTCCTATGACCTCCTAGGACTGGCCGCAGACATCCTCCCAGCGGCGACGCGCAGCTCCTGTCCACACCCATCCCAGACTCCCCACCGGCGGGACTCCACGAGGCTCTTCGGGACGGGACGGAGGAAGTCCTTGGAAAGCCTGCAATTCCAGAGCATCTTCCTCTCACCTATCAGCCTTCGGAGCGAAAGGTGGTAGCGACGGGCGTCGCGGTGACCCCTTGTTGCGATCCCCTGCCCGAGTGTCTCGGCCTCGGCGCCCTGCGGGCCGGGCGCTCGGGCGTCCGGGAGCTCCCCCTCGGGGCGGCGCGCAGCGGCAGCCGGCCGGGTTGGCGGCAGCGCCCGGGCGGGCGAGGGGTGGCTCTGACACTTCGCCCGCCCGCCCGCCCACGTGCACCGAGAGGAGCGAAGCCCAGAGTAGTTGCCCGGCCCGGGCCCGCCGCCGGTGGGTGCCTCTCCTCGGAGGCTGGTGCGTGTGCGTGTGGGGGGGTCGTAACCCGAGCCCCCACCGCCTGGACCTAACTATATTTGCATAATTTGTTCTCCTCCTCTCTTCCCCCCCCCAACACTGTCTTTCGGACTCAGGCTGGAGATGAGAGTCGGGCTCCCCTCCGAGGCGTCGTCTTGCCCGTGGTCAGCGCGAGGACCGCGGGAGCCGCCGGAGCGCAGGCGGAGCGGGCTGGCGCACGTGGTAAGAACCCGGCTTTTCTCCCCTCTGCCCTCTTTGAGACGCCCGGCTAAGCTTAGACGCGTTTGTAGCGGATGGATACTGCGCACGGCGCTCCCTTCGCGATTTCTTCGCTTTTCCCTTTTAATAAACACCCCCTCCACCCCCATTTGGTGAGGAGCGCGCGCCACAGGAAACTTTCCCCAAATTTGCTCTGGGCGCTTGAAGTCAGGGAGGTGTCAGGTCCCCGAGAAACTTAACTTTTGCCCCAGGCATGGGGGGGTTAGACGTGGTGCAAGGCTGCCTGCGGCCGCTGACCTCCGCGGCGCGTGGGGCCCGGCCCGAGCCCGAGCGCTCCCGCGGCGCCCGCCACCGCAGGTGAGCGGCGGGAGAGCGTCTGCAGCGCCGCGCTCCCTCCACGGCGTGGCGCCATGGCTCCTGCCCGCCCGCCTGGGTCTACTGCAGGCCGGGTCCGCTCCGGGGTAGGAAGCGGGAAAGCGACTAGCCGGGCCGACCGAGTTATCCCAGCGCTCTGTCCCCGGTTTCCAAGAGTTCCGTGTGGGCAGTGGCAGGGGGATAGTTCACAACCTCCCCCCTAGCATCCTGGGGCCAAGGTGGCTCCGACGAGCCCCGCTGGGTGGCCCAGGACCCATCTCCCCAGAGGGCCTGGACCGGGCCCGGAGCGATTTGGGTGCGGTTTGGGGGGGGGGGGGCTGGGAGGTAGGAGCGGTGCGTCCAGCGAGCCAGAACTCGCCTCCGTTTCTAAAAAGTTGTATAAAATCGCTTTGAGAATAAGTAGCACGCTTTCTACAGGGGTCAGTTTTAGTGTGCTGGGTTTTTTTTTTTTTTTTTCCTTTTAAATTAGCTCGCGGAGGGCAATGCCTGGGGAGCGAAGGCGGGTCAGAACGTGCTGGGGATCTCTTTGGGCTGTCACTTAGGAGGGCTCCCCGAGGCTCCCGGGTTTTTGGCAAGGGAGTGGTAGAACCTTCTTTCGAGTGTGTGTGTTCTACAGTCGGGCTTGAGGACGGGTAGGGTGTACCCCTAGTACGTGCGATCGCGGGGATCAAGGGGCTGGACGGAGGCGGCGAGAGGTACTGCCGGTGAAGACCGTGGAGTCTCCACAAAGCGTCCTGTCTGGCGAGCGCTCTGCCACCCGCGGCTTCTGTCGGCGAGGCGGGCACACAGGCGCGCTGTCAACCGGGAGGTGTGTGTGTGTGTGTGTGTGTGTGTGTGTAGCGTAAGGTGTGAGTGGGTGTGTGAAGAGGGTAGCGGAGGAGGGAGTGTGCATAGCGGAAGTGGAGCGTGTGTGTGTGTGTGTGTGTGTGTGTGTGTGTGGCGGGCCCAGGGTGAGTGTCCAAGCCTCCATCTGGACGCCCCCACGCAGCCGTCCGCCCCAACACGCTGGGAAGGGCGCCCGCTTCGCGCAGCAGCTGAAGGGGGGCGGGGAGCGCGCGGGCAGTGGAAGAGGGTGTTTTCGGGCTGAGGATTCCTCTCGAAGTTCCTGCAGTTATTCTGCTCTTCCTGGGGGGGGGGGGGAGTCTGTCCCTTACTCCCCCCTCCCCCACCACAAGGATTTCCCAACCCCCTCCCCTCAAGTGCCCAAAATACTTAAACAAATAACTCCATCCAGTTCCGTTTTCGCTCCTGTATAAATAGAACAGACTTTCCAAAAAAGCAATACCGCATTCACTCTGATCACCAGCCCCTTCTTTCCACCAAGTAATTCAGAAAAAAAGCAGTCCGCTTCCGCGAACGCGTGTCGCTTTTCTTCTTCTTTTTTTTTTTTTTTTTTTTCACTGCCTTCTTTTGCTTGTGGTTTTGAGCTGCCAAGAAAGTGAGTCGGGGTTTGAGTGTAGTGTCTCGGCTCCGCTCGGTTTCTTTCCGAAGTTTAATTTTCCGGAATGGCTCCCAAACAAGGGCTGGGGAGGCGGAGCCGCCGGCACCGGATCTTCGCCTTTTTTGGAAAGTCCCAGAGAACCGGAATTCCTCCCCGCCCCGGGGAGGCCGAGCCGCGATCTCGACTCCGCTCCCTCTTCAGCCGTAGCCAAAGCGGGGTCGGTGGCGCGCCCCCCTCCCTGCTGCGCGCTGGGACCTCCACCCCCGCGCCCCGGGCGCGGCTCAGCTCGTGCGCCCCGGACCCTCGTGGGTTTCCAGCGGCAGCGAACCGGTAGTTGGCGTGCCCGGCGGAGCCCGCGCGGCCGTGCCCGTATGCAAATAGGCCATGTGACGGCAAGAGCCTCCTGGCCCAGCCCTGTTCCTCAGTCCATATATGGGCAGCGACGTCACGGGCATTGAAGACCTGCCCATAAATACTTAGAGCAACACTTTCCGACTGAGAGAGCAGCAATTGATTAATAGCTCGGCGAAGGGACACACTGACTGTTATAATAACACTACACCGGCAACTCCAGGCTTCCACAGCAGAGAGAGTCAGTGACAAATAGCTCATTTTTTTTTCTTTAAAAAAATCATAAAACCAGCAACTTGTTTGCTAGTTTTATTTGTTGGATTTTTTTCCTTTTCTTTCTTTTTTTCTTTTTGGTGTGTGGTGGTTATTTCTAAGTGTGGAGGGTAAAAGGAGATACCAGACTCAGTCCAATCCCTCTCCAAAACGGCTTCTCTGGCACTCCAGGTAGCAAGGGAGTTGGGACTCCAAGTTGTGCGAGGAGCAAATGATGACCGCCAAGGCCGTAGACAAAATCCCAGTAACTCTCAGTGGTTTTGTGCACCAGCTGCCTGACATCTACCCGGTGGAGGACCTTGCCGCCACGTCGGTGACCATCTTCCCCAATGCCGAACTGGGAGGCCCTTTTGACCAGATGAACGGAGTGGCTGGAGGTAAGCCCCGCGTCCTCCTCACCGGCTGGGAATCGCAGGACTTGGAGGTCGTGGGTAGGGGAGCAGTGGTTGTGCGGGACTCGGCGATCAGGATTGGGGATCCGGGTGGACTGGTTGACTGACCTGTAAGTCAGGACTGGGGGGTGCTGCCCAAGACAACGGAGACCAGAGTGCTAAGGGTGGGCGCTCTGGCGGGTGCACCAAATCACCAAATGAACTGGTGTGCGTGCGCTCTGGCGCGCAGAAATACGGGTGGAACGGGCGCCTTTCGGCTTCGGGGCAGGCTCCGGCCCTTCGGCCGGTCTCAGTGCGACCTCTCCCCGCCCTGGGACGGAGGCAAAGCTTTGGTAAAGTTCGAGGTTCCCAGTGAGAGAGTTGTGTCGGAAGAGCAGAGCGGCCGAGAAGCGACCAGCCGCTCGCTCGGGGCAGAGCCTCCCGGGGCAGGTCTCGGAGCGCGCGCTGCGCGAGGAGACGCGCCTCCACCTGCGCTTCGCCCGCGAAGTGGAGGGATTTAGTTGAGGAGGACACCGGCTTGGGCGGGCGGGCAGAGGCAGGGAGGTGGTAGAGGGGGCCGAACCACAGCGGCAAGCAGCCCCCGGATTGCCGAGGGAGGCCCGCGGCTGCCCCGGAGGCGCGGGTTTCCTTGGCGATGCTGTAGAAAGTAGTCTCCCGCAGCCCCCGCGTCTTGCTGGAGCCCAGTCACCGTACTCGGGCTGGGGTGGAAACGCGCGGGCAAGGCTGAGGATAGGAGAAAGGAAAGGAAACCCAGAGATTCCTGCCTCCGCAGACCCCATTCCCTCTGTCAGCCCTCGGCGGGAGTAAAAGCCTCAGCGATGGGGAGAAGGCAAGGAAATTTGAGCTGTAGGGAAACCACACATCTCCTTTCTCGGATTGCCCTATTCCCGGGGCTGAAACCTTCGCCATACTGTTTGGGATTGGTCGTGGGACCATCAGACCGAGGAGTGGGAGAGAAGTTTCAGGCAGATGGGACATTTTAAAATACTGTTTTTTTTTTTGCGATTCGTGGCTGTTGTTATTGGGGACCAGAGCCACGGGTGGCTGTGGAGGCAGGAGGTCGGTAGGAACTTGGGATGCCTTCTTGGAGGTAGTTCTTGAGGCCCACACTGGGGTTAGTCTCGTGCTGCTGTCTCTAGCCCTCAGTTTCCCCACCCGTTGGACTTTTGTCCCAGCTCTTTGGTGCTGGAACTTGAGAATGGACCCATGGGAGAGGGGGCGAGACAAGATTCTTGGCTCTATTCTCACAGTCCCGCCTCCATTCTGCCTTTCCTTCCCTAGATGGCATGATCAACATTGACATGACAGGAGAGAAGAGGTCCTTGGATCTCCCATATCCTAGCAGCTTTGCTCCTGTCTCGGCACCCAGAAACCAGACCTTCACTTACATGGGCAAGTTCTCCATTGACCCCCAGTACCCTGGTGCCAGCTGTTACCCGGAAGGCATCATCAATATCGTGAGTGCAGGCATCCTGCAAGGGGTCACCTCCCCGGCTTCAACCACAGCCTCATCCAGCGTCACCTCTGCCTCCCCCAACCCACTGGCCACAGGACCTCTGGGTGTGTGCACCATGTCCCAGACACAGCCTGACCTGGACCATCTCTACTCTCCACCACCACCTCCTCCTCCTTATTCGGGCTGTACTGGAGACCTCTACCAGGACCCCTCTGCGTTCCTGTCAGCAGCCAACACCTCCAACTCTTCTTCTCTGGCTTACCCACCACCTCCTTCCTATCCGTCCCCCAAGCCAGCCACGGACCCAGGTCTCTTCCCCATGATCCCAGACTATCCTGGATTTTTTCCATCTCAGTGCCAGAGAGATCTACACAGTGCAGCTGGCCCAGATCGAAAGCCCTTTCCTTGCCCCCTGGACTCCCTGCGGGTCCCCCCTCCACTTACTCCACTCTCTACCATCCGCAACTTTACCCTGGGGGGGCCCAGTGCTGGGGTCACTGGATCAGGAGCCAGTGGAGGCAATGAGGGACCTCGGCTGCCTAGTAGCAGCTCTGCAGTAGCTGCTGCAGCGGCCTATAACCCACACCACCTGCCTCTGCGGCCCATCCTGAGGCCTCGAAAATACCCCAACAGACCCAGCAAGACACCAGTGCATGAGAGGCCCTACCCGTGCCCAGCAGAAGGCTGTGACCGGCGTTTCTCCCGCTCAGATGAGCTGACAAGGCACATCCGAATCCACACAGGACATAAGCCCTTCCAGTGTCGGATCTGCATGCGCAACTTCAGCCGTAGTGACCACCTCACTACACACATCCGTACACACACGGGTGAGAAGCCCTTTGCCTGTGACTACTGTGGCCGCAAGTTTGCCCGGAGTGACGAAAGGAAGCGTCACACCAAGATCCACCTGAGACAGAAGGAGAGGAAAGGCAGTGCCCCTTCCTCATCGGTGCCAGCCCCCTCTTCAGCCTCTTGCACGGGCGTCTCACAGGCTGGTGGCAGCCTATGCAGCAGCAACAACAGCACTATCGGTGGAGGGCCGCTCGCCCCATGCTCCTCTCGGACCCGAACACCTTGAGAGGAGAATCAAGTTGACACACCAGTTCCTCAAGGCCCCCAAAGGCATTTCGTCTACTCCAGCTGCATGACAAACACTACCACCCTTCCCTGCTCCCCTTCCATTTGGTGGGCAAAGGGCCTTGGTAGAACCCAGTCAGTCCTGCCCTTCTTTCCTTTAGAAACAGGTCTTTCCTAAAATTTAGCACATTTTGGTGAGTTGACTGTCACCCCAAGGCAATAGGGAGGAGTCCCAGAAGGAGGTTGAGTGAGAGCCCTTGGCCTACAGGGCTGAGGCCTGGCCCCTGCTTTCAAGGGTTGTTTGACTAGGTTTTACTGCACCATCCTCTTTTGTTGACTGGAGACATTTTCTACAATAAGTTGGGAGAGGCTGATCCTTTAAAATGGGGACAGCAAAAAGATAAGGAAAACTATTGTGCACTTTATGGCTTGGGACTGATTCGGGGGACGGTGTACAGCGAACAGTGAGCAAATGGCCTTTACTACGCCGCATTCTGTGGCCCCAGAACCAGCTTATCTAGTCGTCTCAACCCTTAAAGCAATATGTATTATAAACCCAGAGAACAGAAGTGCAATGTGATGGAGGGGACATAGCAATATTTGCTCCTTTTGTTGAGTTTTGTATAGACTATTTTTTTTCAGTGTATATCCACTCAGATTTTGTGTATTTTTTGATGTGCACTGTTCTCCAAGTTCTGAATATTTGGGAAAAAAATGTAAAGCATTTATGATCTCTTGAAGTGAGTCAGAGGTTAACTTATTTAAAGGGGGATGTACATATATATGTTCTCTGAAACTAGGATGCATGCAAATGTGTTGGAAGTGTCCTTGGTGCCTTGTGTGATGTAGACAATGTTACAGGGTCTGCATGTAAATGGGTTGCCTTACTATGGAAAAATAATCACTCCTTGGGTTAAGTATGGCTGTATATTTCTGCCTATTAATATTTGGAATTTTTTTAGAAAGTATATTTTTGTATGCGCTGTTTTGTGACTTAAATGTGTTACCTTTGTAGTCAAATTTCAGATAAGAAAATGTACATGTTACTGGAGCTGATTTGTTTGGCTATTAGCTCAATAGTTGTGGAAAAACAAGTGATCTATTCTAATGCTAAACCACTAACTAGAGTTCAGATAATGGTTTATGACTATAGTGTAAATAAATACTTTTCAACAATATTTTTGTTTCAGAAATCATTTATGAAATGTTTACTAGGTGGGAATTAAGTCATTCAGCACTTGTGGAATTATTGAAAACAAAACAGCACTAAATATCAATGGGCTAGAGCTTTGGACTAAGATAAGACCACCAAGTTTTCTTTGCTATTCTCCACAGTAATCTCCATTCATGATCAAACACTAGTTAGTGTTTTGGGGATTTCCCCCCATGCATTAGTGTAAAAGTAGGGAGGCGTTGTTTTGACTCATTGTTCCGTCCTCTTTAACAGCCTATATAGTTTCTGTCTGTTCCTGAGTGGGCTTTGGAGAATAAATACTTACAAACAAGTGCCCACTCGGAGACTACATATTTGCAACTGCATTCAGAACTCTGACCAGTGTCTGGGACTCAAGGATGTGGCTTTGTGGAATATGTGGTGGCCTGGTTGAGCTGGGAATTTGTGTCAGGCTCCAGTATCAATCTCATGACTACAAAAAAACTTTTTGAAAGCACTATCACCACTTCATATGAAAAAATGCTCTCCAACATTGCTGATGGCAGCACTCATGGGTTGCCATAGTAAGTACCTCAGGACTCATCTCTCTCTGGTCCTCACTTCACATTTATTTAGAAGATTCATTCATCAGTGATTTGGTGGATCTAGAAGTGACTATAAAAATAGCTAGCTTGTTATTAAGACAGGTGCTCTCCAGCCTTGAAAAAAATCTTAAGAGGCAAATGTATAAATAAAATCCTCCCTTGACAGTGGATAATGGTTTGCAAACAAAAAACACTCTGAGGGTTAATTTTACTGGAAGCCTTTTGCAATTTTAAAATAAACTCACCATCTTCCCAAATTACTAATCTACCCATTTTTTTTTATCCTATAGGGAACAAATAGATCATATGCCTGTGACATTATCATCTTTACTCCAAAATCTGGATCTAAGTATCTTAATATTCCATGCTTCTTAAACAGATTCCTATGTTGAACCACTGTTCCACAACATCTGAGAAAATCTCTTCATCTGCTTGTAGTTTTTTCAGTGCTGGCATTGCCTGGATGTGGCAGATAATTTTGATAGTCTGTATTTCAGTAGCATGGACAGTGACAGTTACTCACCTGTTGCCCTCAGCCACTGGAATTTGAGAATTTATGGAGTTAATGAAGCACTTCCTTAAAACTACAGTATTTCAGAACTTGAGTGCCAAGATTTTTTTCCGCTACATATTACCCTGCTTAACCAGTTTTGGTAAGTATAAAAATATTAGTTTGGTAATTGTTTCTAACAAATACTCCTTTCCAAGATTTTGTATTAAAATATGGTATGCTCTAGTTTTGAACAATATGTAACCCTCTTCTCAAAGCATGATTTCAGGCTGTTTTGAAAATCAAGATTATATAAACCATTGTTTACAAAGCAGTAAACTAGGCAGCCTTAAAAGTAAGTTTGAAAACATTTTAATGGAATCTGGTTGCACCATCACTTTGACGTTGGCTTGCTGAAGTAGCAGTCACGTCTACTGCAAGGAAGACCAAACTTTTAGTGTTTCTTCAGGGCCAACCTTGGCTTTTACTCCTGGATTTCAACATGCGAGGACAGTACCTTTAAACAGTTCTCTGCTTAAAATATTCAGCCACTTCAAAGGCATTTGTTTTTACTTTGCTCAAGAAATAAATGGGCATCAAGTTTGTTGTTCTTCGAACCTTACCTGTGCTTTATAGGGTATTATAGATACCTCCATTACTGTTGATTTGTATTAAAAAGTAACTGCTGGAGAATAACTCCTTAAAAATGCATAATACTTTTGAGATGGCTCTATTCATAATTATAAACAAGTTAATTAAAGTTAAACTTAACTGTTCATCAACTATACTATTTAATTTCAGTATCTTTACTGCTGAGATTAAGGCAATTTTTTCATATATTAAAAATTGCTGCTGTTAATATCTAACTTTTCAATATGTTTTGTGTGTATATATGTGTGTGGAGGAAGGATGGTCAGCATCTACAGATACTTATATGCCAAACAACAAATACATAAATTCTGTAAAAAGAAAATCAAGAGCAGAACGAAATATTCAAGTCTTTAAGGCACTTCCTTTTTTAAAAGACAAAAATTATTTTGTTTTCTTGTAATTTTCTTTTGGTTAAACCTGAGTTTTGTTACAGCAAAATAATGTATTTATACATTAGTTTCTGGTATTTTTAGTCATCCTGTTTCAAAGCACCAGTCGTAAGTTTGTACTATTTCTTGGACTTTAGAAATCTACAAACCACTTTTATTACAATATAATCCTATAGTTTAAACTGAAGTTTTAATAGTGATCAAAACATTGTAAAAAGATAATGCCTTCTACATTCTTCAATAACAAGATTTCTCTTAAGTAATTTTAAACACATCTTTATTTTCCATAAACACACTGATTTTAATGGGAAATGTAAACCTGGATTCAAAGATTCAGTATCATTAGAAGTTTCATCTATGCTGGTGGGAGCCTCAGTAAAATGGAACTGAGCAGCCTCCCAGGATCCCGAGTTCTGAATTCAGATCGGCAGTTGCAGGAGTAACTGCTCTCAGGACAGAATTGAATAGCAATGGGAAAAGGTCTGAATTAAAGATACATTGCTTCTTCGCTGGGCCACAGTATTAAAACACACAAGATCCAGAAATCATTTGCAACAGAGGAGCCATCAGAGTCCTCCTGATAAGCCAAGACTAAGGCACCTATAAGGTGACAATAGAAGGTGGGAAAATAAAACGTACACATTTTGGGAGAAGGGCTATTCATGCTGAAAGCTCAGGAAACTTACTCTTATTAATAAACCACATTGCTTAAAAAGCAGACTATCATTTTCTTTAATAAACACCATTTGTTATAGTCAAACCATCAAATCAAGCTTAATAATAATCATTTCTGAAAGTAGTATATATGTAGGTACACAAAATTTCATATTGATATAACTGGTCACTGATACATTAGAAAACTTAAAAGCTTCAGAAGTATTTAGACAATTTCTCATCCATGAGAGGCAATTATTGCATTTATTATTCAACAGAAAAGTAATACCATTGTGCTCATTAGTCTTTCCTATGGGAAGGTAACTTCTATCCTATAGCCGTTACTAAAACAATCTGCCTTTCAGGACTACATGAAAACACAATAGCAGCAACATCAAGTCAGTTATGACTAATAGTTTATGCATAGAGGTGAGGTTTTTTTTTCTTCTGCATTTTGTCTTTGTTATGAGCATATTCTCTCAGCATGTGTTCATTAAAACAAGTTATTTTGTTTACAACATTTACTCAATGAATCAAAAATTTCACTATTCTTACTGATCTAGATCCAAAAGATATCACATTGTTTTCTCAGTCAATCTTTTGAAAAGCACCTAGTTTTCTTCAGAATTGCTTATAATTGAAAACTTTATACTTTTTGGTTTTTTGGTAATAAAGTCCTTAATAATTCTTTTATTACTAACCTGTTTTCAGGATGTTTCTATAAAGTAGTTTAGCATACTTTATATTATACCACATTTACATTAAATAATTTTTGCACATCAACAATGTAATTCAAAAACACACACAATCATTGCTGTGCTGTGAAAAAAAAACTTGTGAGGCTAAGAAAATCATTTGTCTATCACCACTGGTTTTCAAAGTGAGTGGCAGGCTGAGCTGCTTCACACTGTCTCCAAGGAATTTTAAACCACACAATGTGAAACTACTATTTTAGCAACCCTGAACAAAATTAATGAATCATGCCTGTGTTATGTGTTACAACAGGGTTTAGTAGCATGTTATGTGGAGTAAGTTAGTTTTTTTTTTTTTTAAAGATCATTCTCCATGGGTTTGCTCCTTCATACTATTAAAAATGGAATAAATACTCCTAAACCCTGCCCTCCATAACGCAGCGGCAAAGCACATATTGGTTTCCCAGAGTCAACACTTTCCACCAGTAATAGTAAATCTCCCTTTTACAAATATTAGAACTACTGCCACTGGGGCAAGTCAATCAAGAGGGCTTAGACGACAGCTGGCCAAATTTTAGTGTGTTTATTTCTACAGTTTGTTCTCATGAAAAGTTTTGTGAAAAAAAGAAATCCTATAAATAGTAAAAAGGGGAAACAGTGCTCCATAGCCTGAAGCAAATGGTGTCAATACACTTGTAAACAAGGTAAAGTTGCTCAGCCTAGGGAAAGGACAGAAATAAAACAAAAGTATAGATAGCACAACTGTTCATTCCAAGAGTTCAAAGTGGGAAGTGTTTAATCCCAAATTTTGGATCTCTAAAATAGCTAATAGTTAATGCTCAAGTTTTCTGGCCTAGATTACCTGTATCTATTGAAAACTTGTCATTGGAGCCAGCATTGGTTCTCTGGGAGAGAAGCTGAGATAACATCACTAGCAATTCAGCTGGAAACACAGCCCCTCTGAATGCTAGAGTTCTTGAAAAAACATGAAACAGCCATCAACATAATTTTTCTACCTTTTTACAGGAAGATACTGGAAGTAGCAGGTGTAGAATTCAACAGCTTGGCTAAGAGTCTTACATTCAATTATTTGGAAGCATAGCAGATTCAGCTCCTCTGAATCTTCTGGTTAGAATGGCCCTAACACCTCTTAAAGTATATTAAGACAAAGGAAACAAGACTTGAGGATAATAGTTTTTGCATTAAAGGTGAATCTACAACCAAAGGGAAAAAAAAAATATCTCAACTGGCAAATTTGGACTACAGACTCCGGGGGAAGATAAGCTGTAAGGAATCAGCTCCCACTGAAATAGGAAGGTGTTGGTTTCTTAGTAGACACCACCTGAATAACCAGATGTTATAGGATCAAAGGAGGAAAAATTACAAATTTTATCCTCGACATGCATAGTTAAGTCTTGGGGGTGAGCCCCAAACTGGAAAAGATGACTTAATTTTCATAGGGAATTAGGATAGTGAGGGTATCTCACTTTTTAAAAAGTAGCTCACATGGCAACCCAGTT